CTACTGAACTTATACTTCCTGGTAGGTAAATTTCTGCTTATTGCCCATAATACGGCTTAATCACTGTGTTTGCATTTTATCCGTTATTTTCTTTTCTCTTTTTTGGTTCAAAAACACACTCTTGGAACTATTATTCTCTATTTGGAGGTCAGTAGGAACCATTCATAAATATCAGAGCTAGGGGCTTCCAAACAACTCTTTGAAGGTATTAGTGACAACTATGGAACATCGTCTCTGTATGCCTTCTTATTCTATCTCTTTCCCTCCTACCTCCCCACACGGTCAAGTATGATGTTAAGTGTTTAGAGGAGGGCTTTTTAACCTAGACACCACGGACACTTAGTCCATGGAAGGGCTTCAGGGAGCCTCTGAAGCCGCCATCCACACCAAATATACAAAAGGTTGTGTATATTTAACCTTTCTCTGGTTAGTCAGTGGCTCTCATCAGATTCCTAAATAGAGACACGACCAAAGAGGTTAAGAATCACTGTAGCAGATTAAGGCATGGGACCAACAGAACTGCATGCTCTAAATCAGCCATTGCTGGGGCTGGAAATCAGGGTGGCTGATGCAGGAATAAAAGAAGCAATCTCTAGGACTTGCGGCCTTGTGCTCTCTATTTAGATGCAGAAAAAGCTAAAAAAATGCTCAAGATATAAAATACTTCAATAAAATTAAAAGAGAAGGGAAAAATTATGATACGAAAAGTTTAAATACAGATTTAAAAAAAAATGGATACCGAGGGGAAAGAAGTCTAAGTTTTGGAACCAGACTTTTGCTAAAAAGCAACTCCACTAGGGCCGGGGTGCGGGAGCCTGCAGCATGCAGCGTTCACAGGAAAAAACCAGCTCTGATTAATAAGACAGCCCACATGCGCTATCCTTGAGGTCCAAGAAGTCAAATCAGTAGTAAACAAAAGCCTTCTAAGAAATAAATGGAAAGAAATAAAAGTAGATTAGAGACAGGAGAGGGCAGGAGGGAAGCACTGGGAAGGGACCCGGGGACTGTCCTGTGGCAGCAATCAGAAGAATTTCAGCTGAGCCCAGTGGAAACGGAGACTAAACCAAATCAGAGCTGGGCTAAGTGGATTCCTTTCCTGGAGGAGGCTGGAGCCTAACTGAATCTGTAATAAATTTCTGTTTCTGAAGCTCCTCTGATTTCTGTTCAAACTCAGTCTTCAAAAACCTTATTCAAGTGATTTCATTCCATTATTTCCAGGGTTTCTAAGACAAGAAAGAGCATCCCAGGGGTGCCTGTCTGAAGACGACATCAGTTTCAAAAGGCAAAAGGCCTCCCTTTTCCCTCTCCATGTTACCCGAGTCCTGAGAAAGCTCAGGAAAGAAAGACTTTCTGCAGGAAGAAACTGACCTGCTTCTAGACTCCCAGGTCATGTGAGTTTTCCTAGGGATGGATACATTCAGGCCATCCCTGTGCTAGCAAATGCTCAGCAAAGGTCATGAGAAGATCTGGTCCATTAACCATAAACAGCTAAACAGCAGGGTCGGGGGAGGCTTTTAAAGTCTTCTATCCATTACCAAAATCCAATCATTCAAGCATGTCTTTAACAGAGCTCACTGTATTGGGGGCTTGTGTGTCTACGTTAGGTGGCACCAGAAGACACAAAGGGAATGTAAGGTCCATTGAGGAATTCCCACTCACCTTGGGGAGCAGGCATAGAACATAACTGTTCACCAGAGGAACCACCGTGTACCCCAAACTACAAACACAAGTACTGAACAGACCAGCTAGTGGGAGAGTGATCAGAACAAGAGTTCCTGTAACAATACCCATCTTTAATAGTTTCAAAATGCTAGAGATTGGTAAGCACACTCTTGTGCATTGCCTCGCTTACTCCTCAAAACAACTCTGTGGGAGAGCTATCAGCCTCCTTTTACAAATGAAATTATATTCAGAGATTAATGCAAATGGTAGGACTGGAACCTGGACCTAGTGACTCTAAATCCTTGCACTCTTTCTACGACTCTGCCAGGAGTGCATGTTTGCTCCTTGGTTGATCATCAGACCTCGGCAAGAGACCCAATGACTTTTGTAGAGACACACAGCAAGTTTGGGTAAGGCCACCATTTAACCCTAGGCCTCATGACAGATAATCTGATGCTGCTCCCAGAACACCTTTCAACTGGCATCTATTGGGGCGCATGCCTGAGCTCCACCTTGGTACCAAGAACAGAAAAAGCTAACATGATTACCAAGAGAAGCTTCTGAAAGAGGCGATGCAACCTCATCAGAAGGGTATGAGGGCAGCAGAACAGACCTGGGCATGAGGGATGGAAAGGGCAGTAAGAGGGTCATCAGAAGGGCTGGTGATGGTCAGTACCATCAGCCCAGGCCACATTATCCTGATGTGGATAATAGCGAGATGTCTGTCTGGGTTTGTTCAGGCTTGTCCTCATAGCTGGGGGTTTTAGATGTCTCCTTCAAGAGTTCTGTACGCAATGGCAATGAATAAAGCTTCACGGAAAGAAAAGCAGCAATCTAAATCTTCTCTGATTTCTCTCCCTTATTTTCCCCAAGTTGGCAACAGGAGTTCGGCTAGAGCTTAAGGGATTTCTACACACTGATCTTACTAGACAGCCTCATCTATTTAACTGGACCAGTCTAGAGGGAAAGAACAGAGCCTTGGTTTCTGGCCTGGATTTAATGACTTGTACACATGTTTATTTCCTCCATTAAATTGTATACACCATACTGATTTTTTTTTTTTTTTTTTTTTTTTTTTTTTTTTTTTTTTTTTTTTTTTGAGACGGAGTCTCACACTGTCACCCAGGCTGGAGTGCAATGGTGCAATCTCGGCTCACTGTAACCTCTGCCTCCTGGGTTCAAGCGATTCTCCCACCTCAGCCTCCTGAGCAGCTGGGATTTCAGGCACCTGTTATCATGCTTGGCTAGTTTTTGTATTTTTGTAGAGATGGGGTTTCATCATGTTGGCCAGACCGGTCTTGAACTCCTGACCTCCGGTGATCTGCCTGCCTCGGCCTCCCAAAGTGCTGGGATTATAGATGTGAGCCACTGCACCCAGCCTGGGTCTTATCCAAAGTAGCAGAAGTATCTGATCACCGTGTTGAATTAAACTGAACAAATGCACCTGGCTTTGCCTCGTGTGACTTCAGGGAGCTCTTGCATGTCTCCAAACCTGAGCGCCTTCATTTTCAAATAGGAAGGAATTCCTGTTTGTCCCGCTGACCTCATACAGCTGTCACCTGTCATGAGGACTAAGTATGATCACGTATCATGTATGTACGAGCAGTATTCATAGTTTCTAGTCCCATATAAACACAAAGGTCTAGTTTGATCACTTACAAACATTTGCTTGCAGGTGGCCCTGTGTTGGGTATATCATACATTAGGAAATTTCCTGTACATCGTTTTTCTGCTAAGACTTTCACACAGTAAGCCCTTAATAAGGATCTTCTGTACCTTGCTGATTCGACTGGCTAAGTACCCCCAAGACCAGAAAAGGAAAGTTCTTCCTGAGGCTGCAACAGACAGTGTGGTGTTCTTCCCCCAGCCTGGGTAAACATGCCAGACATGATAAAAAGAACAGGAAGAGCTAAGTGCCTTCAGGAAATCCAAGTGTTACTCCTGTTGGCCACATGCTGACTTTATTTAAAGATCAAATAAAGGCACTCTGGCTAGCATTCAGCAAAAATGAGCACTGGGGAATCTTATTTTTAAGAATCCCTCAGGCATTTGTCATTTCTCTCAGGTCCATGTGGGCGGCTGCCAATGTTACGGGATCAGCCGGTCCCTGGACATGCCCTGAGCAACCCTGATGCCCAATCCTTGCACCGCCACTCTTCCGCACACAAGGGCATGGCAGCCCAGAGGGTCCTGTTAAAGTGTCAAGTGCTTCCTATGATACCCACACACCAGGTCTCCATATGACCCACCGGTGCCTGGCTAGGTGGGCATGTGAGCTCTCCTTTGGAAGGGTCACGGACTGGAGGAGAGGAAGTTCTGCTGAGGTGGGAAAGCCAGACAGCAGAGAGCCCTGGGCCAGACAGCAGAGAGTCCTGGGCCCCTCTGGGCAGAGGAGACTCCCTAAGCGGGTGAAACTAACCGTTGTGTTTTAACAAGGTATTCCAACCCTAAACCAGTTCTCCCGTTTAGTTTCTTGACACTTACTACTAGAACCATATTCACTGACCTCCTTCCCTTCCTCCTTCTCCTTCCCCCAATAATGAATACTTCCTAAGTTCCAGATCCCTTCATGGCACTGAGCTGGTTACCATGATAACCACGAAGCCCTCACGCTCTCCTGGGGGCAGGGGTAGGGGTGGCCATCAGGTATGCCTACTGCGATGTGAAAAGGGCTCTCCTGGCAGGGTGGGCAGAGAGCTGCAGGGGTAGGACGGCAAAGTAACACTGGAGTTAGGCCTTAAAGGATTACAGAGTTCTGTCAAGCCCAGGGGGTTGTGATGGGGAGGGCGTTTAAGGCAGAGGAAATAGCTGTGTGAAGACAGAGGAGTGAGAAGTTCAGGGTCACGGTGGGTCCTGGTGAGCAGCAGTGAGCACTGGGTGGGTGGAAAGGGAGAGAGGAAGGGTGGGGAGAAGAGGCTGCAAAGCTGATCTGCCACAAAGAGGGTCAAGGGCTTGCCATGCAAGGGATATAGACTGTTCTGTGGGCAATGGGGAGGAGGCACAACGAGTTGACCTTGTGGAGAGGGCACGGGAGCGGTGGTGTTCTGAGGCTGGTTTGCACCAGGGTGCAAGAGTAATTGTTAAGATTATTTTTACAAGAAGGTTGATTTTACATTTAAAATCAGCCATGGTTGGCATGCCTGCATCACAGAAATAGGCAAATGTCACAAAGCAGGTTTTTTTTTCAGAGTGGCTGTTAAACATTTACCAGCACACATTGGGCATGCGTGTGTATGCATGCACATACATGTAGAGCTGCTAACCAATAACAAAGGGGTTCAGCAACAGCAGAAAAAAAGGATGCCAGGCAGAACTATGTGAGATCTTGGCACACTCACCAGTCTCAGATTCTTCATTGCTTGGGGAAACATGCCTTGATGTAGCTGCAGTTTGCCAACTTTCATCACTTGAACCCCTCTGACGGGATGGCTTCCTGGGAAAAAAATCCTGGAAGAAACCACACAGCAAACAGTGTCAGCAGCTCTCACCTTTGCAGTCAGCATTTCATCAGGAGACTATGAAAGTAGGAGCAAACACCAGCTGTGAATGTTAATAAGGAAATTAGCTTTACAATCCAGGAGAATGCAGTACTGAGGGGAATTAACACACAATCCACAATCAGTCTCCAGCTCCTCCGCATTTTGTGTTAGGGAAAAAAAATGATAGGACTAGAAGGTCTCCCTCATAAACACTAGAGAAGAGAAACAAAAGTTTGGAGCTCTGCACTGATATTTGGGAGGGATGCGCTGGGGAGAACAGGTGCTAATCTCCTCCAGGCTCTTCCATGAAGCATTAGCACTAGCACTAGCAGAGCCCTAGAACAGAAGATTGCCTCTCAATACATATTTGTTGAATAAATAAAGTTTTCATGATCCCCCAACTAGATACTACCACATCCCCCTTTTAACCGCAAAGCCCTTTGATTGAATCTCAGCTGTGGAGTCCATCATGGAACACCTTTCTTATAAGCACGTGTGTATTTATTTATCATCTCACTGGATTATAATGCTTTTGATTCAGGTACCACATCTGCGTTCTCCATGACGTCTGACGTGCAGGAGGAACTCCATCCATGCTGGACCCCTTCCACATAGAACAGAATAGAATACGGTGTTGTCGTGGACCAAAGAAAGAGGACTGCACACACCTCAAGCCTCGGGGTGTTTCAGACCCTGTGAAGAGCTGTATTACTTCAATTCAACAAGAATTTACCACATTGAATTTAACCAAAAATGAGCAGTTTGGCCTGTTCTGGCACCAATACCCCCTACCCCTACTCTTAGAGAATACTGAGCCCCTGCTGTATATGCACAATTGTCTCTGGGGGAAATGCCTACACACACACACACACACACACACACACACACACACACACCACAGTTTAAATGAGCTTTTCAGACCAGGTGCGACGGCTCCCACCTGTAATCCCAGCACTTTGGAGGCTGAGGCAGGCGGATTGCTTGAGCTTAGGAGTTTGAGACCAGCCTGGGTAACATGGCAAAACCCTGTCTCTATAAAAAATACCAAAATGAGCCAGGTGTAGTGGAGCACGCCTGTAGTCCCAGCTACCTCGGACGCTGAGGTGGGAGGATCACTCGAGCCCAGGAGGCTGAGGCTGCAGTTTCACACCACTGCACTCCACCCTGAGTGACAGAGTGAGACCCTGTCTCAAAAAAAGAAGTTTTTTCCTTAAGGCTGAATCATCCCATTAGACACAAGACACACATTCCTGCAGAAGTTAAAACAAGGTTACATGATGGAGCATGAGTCAGCGCCCAAGCAAGGCATAACTTAATGTACGCTAGATGTTCAAGTTTGTTGAACTGAACTGAGAAAATGATACAAGTATTGTGAAGACAAAGGGGTGACTGACGGCTGGACCGGGGAAGGCTTCCTGGAGCAGGGAAATTGGACTTACACTGGCTCCCAAGGATTTGGAGAGGCTTGGCTGGGTAGGAGAAGGGAAGTGTATCCCAACTGTCAGAGAGAATGAGCAAGGGCTCACTCTAAATGCGGCTTCTCCAGGGACGGAGGTGCCTGCCCACAGACATCAATAAGATAATCCTAGAATCCATCAGTTTTACAGGGCTTGCCATGTGCCAGGCACTGTTCCAACTGCTTTTCATCCATGAACCCAGAGGACCCCATCTAAGCTCTATTATGTAATAGTGATGAGGCAGATTTACCAGGAGAGACAGGTATGCTCTCTGACAAGTGCACACATATCTGCAAACCATTCCCTCTCGCTGAATCTTAACTCTTCCCCCCACGAACTGTCATATGGAAACATTTGTTTTCATTCATGCTCTTAAAAAAGTAGAAAGCAGTACCTGGGAGGAAAGTATTTAAACCGACAGAAGATTGGGCATTGCATCTTAAAAAGCTGAAAAGGGCCGGGCGCGGTGGCTCACACCTGTAGTCCCAGCACTTTGGGAGGCCGAGGCGGGCAGATCACGAGGTCAGGAGTTTGAGACTAGCCTGGTCAATATGGTGAAACCCCACCTCTACTAAAAATACAAAAATTAGCTGGGCATGGTGGCATGTGCCTGTAGTCCCAGCTACTCGGGAGGCTGAGGCAGAACTGCTTGAACCTGGGAGGTGGAGGTTGCAGTGAGCTGAGATCGCGGCACTGCACTCCAGCCTGGGCAACAAGAGCAAGACTCCATCTTAAAACAAAAACAAAAACAAAAAAAACCAGAAGCTGAAAAGGGAGCAGAAGGGGGAACAACAAAGGAGACACCTGGGTCCTGGATTTTTCTTCATCACTTTACCTCTCACCCCTTACAAAATGAACATCATTATCTATTTGTGTAGAAATAACTGTAAGATTCCCAGACAAAGGGCGTAAGTGCAGGACGCCATTATCAGAGGGTAATTGCCCTGGTCACTTTCCTTGAAAAGCACACCTGGATTTGGGGTGTTATATTATTGCTATGAATGTGGCATCATTAAATTTAAAGGTCAAAAAGTGATTTTACACTAATAATCACTCCACAAAGTGGATGTCTGTCATGTCGGTTAGAAGAAGGAAAGAAAATTTCAGTTCGACGACGGTAGAGAAAGTGGTGCGTCATTACACCATGACAGGTACCTGCCCCGGTCACTCGGATATTTCAAAATGCAGTAGAGCTTACTAAGGAGAGCATGAGGAAGCGCTTGTAACGGGGACTTCCAAATAAATACTTACAGGGCAGTCTCACAGCTCTGTGGGGCTGCCGATTGCGGGCCTGGTTTTGTTTCTGGAGGCCTCCCAGCTGCAATACCGAATAAAAATCATGATTTCTTGCTGGAGTATAGCTCCAAGGAGAACTGGTCAAGCTCACTCCTGCTGGGAGATTCTCCAAGGGTCTGGCCTTCTATCCATTTTCTGGTGTAGAGCAGGGATGGGGAGAGAAGAGGGCCTGGAGGTAGTAGTCTTGACAGGACAAAAAGACAGTCATCTTTTTGATAGGACTGTCAAAAATAAAGACCAGGATTACGGTCCAAAATGAAGCAGCAATCAGGTGTGTCCAAGGACTGTGAGGACTAAAGCAGGAGTCGGAGTGAGAAGGTGAGGGGGTAAGGTGCACCTATGCGATGCTGGATTCTGGGTCCGGCCCCGTAAGCGATCTGCAGAAGTCCGAAGGGAGTCCCTGCCCTCGGTTAGCATGTAGTTTGCAGGTGAAGCAAATGAAATCATGATACAGAAAGGCGTGTGACAGCCACCTGACCAGGGCACAGACAATGTGTGCTCTGGGAGCAGCCAGGACCACAGTGATCAGTGGAGCGGCAGAGTCTCCGCGGGTTTCCACTGGAGATGATGATGGGATCCTGGGATAAGGGAAGGGATGGATGATTGCTCTGGTGATGGGATGGGAGGCTGAATGCCCAGGGGCAGTGAGCATGCTGGTCCGGCCAGCAGAGGAGGGGAGTGTAAAGAATTGTATAGTGGATGGATTAATTTGTTACCACCTGAATCCACTGATCAATCTTAGCCTCACCAAAGTAGGATAACTAGACACTAAGTGCCATCGGATGCAGAAGGAATTATTTTTGACTACCTATCAACTATCCTTGTGAAACAAAACAAAACCCCACACACTGAAGCTGAATCTAATCAAGCCTGCAAAGTTAAATCCCACTTCATACGGAAAAACAAGGGACAGAGGAACAAGTAAAGCAGTCAGCTGAATCTGGGGTATGGGAAATTCTACAAGCCTGGACCCAGGATCTTCAACAAGTCAATCACAGCAAAAGAAAAAGATGGTAGCAGGAGAAGAATACTATACATTAAAAGAGATGTAGGAGATGTAACAATCACATACGAGGTGCAGACCTCGTGTATCCATACTCAGCCAAGACAACTGTAAAAAGGTATTTCTGAGATAATCCAGGAAATCTGAGCATGAAACAGCATTGTGGATGGAAGAAAAAATGTCCACATATTTCAGAAGTACAAAACTGAGGTGCACATGAATTAAATGACCTAAAACCTAATATCTGAGATTTCACTTAAATCTAGTCACTCCTCTGTATGCACAAGATGTTAGTTCCAGGATCCCCACAAATATCAAAGTCTGTGGATGTTTAAGGCTCTTACGGTCAGCCCATGGTATCCCCAGGTGATAAATCCCCGGGTTATAAATCCCCAGGTTCAGCATCTGCAGGTTCAACCAACTGCAGATAAAAAGCACAGTTGGCCCAGCATATCCACATGTTCTGCATCCAGTTCAATCAAGCACAGATCACTCAATGCAGAAGGCATGAATCTGGAGGGCCAACTGTATCTTCAGCAGATTTTCAGCTTCCAACAATGGTGGAGTAGCTTATTTCAGACCAAGCAGCTTATCTGCTGCTGAAAACAGGAAAACAGACCAAAAAGTATTTTTAAGAATCTGTTTGAAGGTATCAAGGAGGCACTGAGGCAGCAAGATCTTGAAAAGTCAGGATCATGGAAAGAATGGAAGGTGAACCTTGTATTCATTGGTGCTTTTCCCTTTGGTGATCTTCTAGTAGACACAGGCTCACCAGCTGAGCAACGTTTCTGGCAATCTCATAGAAAAGGAGACACAGAAACTGGAATTCAGGGATCAACAATGATAACAAGGAGCTCTGGTAAACATCCCTGGCTTTCAATTCTGACCACCAAAGGACTACAATCTATCTAGGCATAGTACAGTAAATTAGAAACAAAGCAGCCACTACAAAGAATGAATCACTTCAAATCCTGATTGGATTACGGTATGGTCTCTTTCTCTCCTGATTCCCAGAAGCAAAAGTAAACATCTCTGAAGGAGACAACATCATCCCCAGCCTCAACTTACCTCACATTTTCTGTATAATGTTCTGCATTTGGTAACATTATAACCCGGCACACGAAAAGACAAGAACTCTCTGAAAACCAAGAGAAACAACACAGACCGCGAGACAGACCTGCAGGTACAGAAACAGCAAGGTTCTCATACACG